AACTCAACAACAGCACAAAAACTCATAAATAATTGGTTTAAAAAATGAGCAAAGGACTTTAATAGACATTTTTCCAAAGAAGATAAACGGGCAATAAGCATATGACAAGATGCTCAACATCACTACTCATTAGAGAAATGCCAATCAAAATCACACGATATTTCTCACACCCATTAAGGTGGCCACTATCAAAAATGCAGAAAATAATAAGTTGGTAAGAATGTTGAGAAACTGGAACCCTGTGCCCATTGGTGGGAATGTAAAATGGTGCAGCTGCTATGGAAAAACAGTATAGAGGTTCCTCAAAAAATTAAAAATAGAATTACTTATCATCCAGCAATCCCACCTCTGGGTATATATCTAAGAGAATTGAAAGCAGGATCTTGAAGAGATTTTTGCACTTTCATGTTCATTGAAGCATTTATTCACAATAGCCAAGAGGTTGATGCAACCTAGATGTCCATAGATGGATGAACGGATAAATAAAATATGATATATACATACAATGGAATGTTATTCAACCTTAAAAAAAAAAGGGAAATCTAATCACATGCTACAACATGGATGAACTTTGAGGATATTATGCTAAGTGAAAAAAGCCAGTCACAAAAAGACAAACTGTATGACTCTACTTATATGAGTTATCTAAAGTAGTCAAACTTATAGAATCACAAAGTAGAATGGTGGTTTCCAGGTCCTGGGGCAAATGGAGAGTTGTTATTCAGGAGTTATTGAGTTTCAGTTTTGCATGATGTAAATATTTTAGAGATCCATTACACAACAATGTGAATATACTTAACACTACTGAATATGCTTAAAAATCACTAAGATGTTAAATTTTATGTTATGTGTCTTTTACCACAATTAAAAAAAGAAAAATGCAAATTCTTTACAAAACCTTCCAAAAATTAGAAGATTTTGAAATCAGAAAAAGATATCATAAAAAAAAAAATACAGACTAATATCTATTTTGAATATAGGCCCAAAAATTCTCAATAAAACATTAGCAAATGGAATCTAGAATATATAAAAAGGATTATACACCATCATTAAGTGGGATTTATCAGACCAGGACTGCAAAGCTGGATTAAAGTCTGAAAATCATTTAATGTAATACTTCATATCAACGGGATAAAGGAAAAAATCATATGATCATCTCAGTTGATACAGAAAAAGCATTTGACAAAATTCATCATCCCTTTATGATAAACATACTCAATAAACTGTGAATAGAAGGGAGCTTCCTCAGACTCATAAGGGTATCTCTGAAAAATTCAGAGCTAACACCAGACTTAATGGAGAAGAAAACATTCCCCCTAAGATAAGGAATAATGTAAGGATGTCTGCTCTCACCAATTTTGTTCAACATAATACTTGGAGTTCTAGCCAGGGCACTTAAAAAAGAAAATAAAATTAATAAGATCATATTAGAAGTAAAACGATCTGTATTTGTAGATGACATGATCTCATATGTAGAAAACTAAGGATTGCACTAAAAAGCTATTGAAACTAATGAATTTGGTAAGGTTGCAGGATACTAGATTAATGTACAAAAGTCAATTGTATTTCTATACAATAGCAGTGAACAATCCTAAAGTCAAATTAAAACAACAATCCCATTTACAATATCATCAAAGATAATAAAATGCTTAGGAATAAACTTTGCAAAAGAAGTGCAAAACTTATACTGTGAAAACTATAAAACATTGAAAGAAATATAAAGAATGCCTAAATAAATGGAAAACATGCCATGTTCACAAACTGGAAGACTAAATATTGTTAATATAGGAATACTCCCCAAATTGATCTATAGATTCAATGCATTCCCTAGAGAACTCTTAACTAGCCTCTTTGTTGAAATTGTCAAGCTGATTCTAAAATTTACGTGGAAATGCAAGGAACCCAGAATAGTCAAAACAAACTTGAAAAAGAACAAAGTTGGGAAATTCAGACTTCCTGATTTCAAAACTTAACTACAAAGCTACAGAAATCAAAACTATAGTACTAGTATCAGAATAGACATGGAGATCAATGGAATAGAATTGAGAGTCCATGGTCAGTGAGTTTTCAACAAAGTTTCCAAGATCTCCAAGATCATTTGGGAGAAATAATAGTCTTTTCAACAACTGGTGCTCCATATGCACCATTGGTTGGATATTGATGTGCAAAATAATGAAGTTGAACCTCACACCATATATTAAAAGAAAACCCTCAAAATGGATTAAAGACCTAAATGTAAGAGCTAAAACTATAAAACTCTTAGAAGAAAACACAGGAGTAAATCCTTGTGACCATGGCAATGATTTCTTGGATATGACACCAAAATCATGAGCAACAAAAGAAAAAAATAGATAAATTGGACATCATCAAAATTAAAAACTTTTGTGCTTCAAAGGACACCATCAAGAAATTGAAAAGACAACGCACAAAATGGTAAGAAATTTTTGCAAATCATATATCTTAAAAGGTACTTGTGCATAAAATAAAAAATTCCAACACCCCAGTAAAAAAAAAAAAAAAAAAACAAATACACCTTGCTGAGCACCCTTAGTAGTAATTTTCAGGGGTTACTGTGGCAATAGATAAGAAGGATACCTAACCAAGACTGGGGAAAGGAGATGTTAGGTGGTGGTATTGTAAGAAAGAACAGAAAGATTTCCCAAGGGAGGTGATGCCTAAACTAACTTTTTGAGAATAAGTAGGAGTTAACTTGTGGAGGAGGCAGGAAAAGGCATTCCAGGTAAAGGAACAGCATGTGCAAAGACTTGGAATGGGGCAGAGTATGTTGCTTTTAGCTTACTACAAGTTATGACCTGTCCTGGCCATAAGAGATATTTTGGGGCAGGCCAAGTACAACTATTTCTTTATAACACCATAGTGGATTTTATTGACCAGATTTTAATGCTATCCTGCCTACAAGACAGACTAGCACTTACTCTCCTGTAAAAAGAATGACAGCCTCAATTACTTAAATGGCCTAGTAGATTGATAAAAGTTTACTCAGTAGGGTACAATGATTTAATAATACAGCTTTGAGTATCTCCCTTACTTGGCAGTTCATCTTTCCTTTTTGGAATGCAGAGACTTAAAGAATTATTGTTTTTTAATGAGCATCTTAGAAAAGTACATTATCACACCCTTAGCACTATGGGAAATGGAACCTGGCAGAATATTTGCTCCAAAACCAAGAGAGAAGCTGAGGCTAGGGGCTGAGAACGCTAATGGGAGAGTTGGCCAGTTTTATGCAATTTTCTGTGAGACCTGTCTTGTAAATAATCACTGTCATATTTGAAAATAACGTAGGAAAACAAATGACCTAAACAGGAGTTCTGTGTGTGTGTGTGTGTGTGTGTGCGTGCGTGTGCGCGCGTGTGCGTGTGTGTGTGTGTGTGTGTGTATTAGGGAGTCGTAGAGGGCATGTTTATCTGGATCTTTA